AATTTGTCCACTTTCAATCATTCCATCCCATCTGTTGTTTTACTTTAATACAGGCAACATGATTGTGCGAGCACGCAAGAACAACCACTTCAGCAGCCGTACCGTGAGATAATGAGATGAAATACTGAGAATGATGAAATGGACGCACCTGAAAATGATGTAGCTTTAAACAATCCATCATCATCATCATCTTCATTAGAACTGGACAGCTATCTGAATACTCTGATAAAAGATATTTCTGATGATGACTGCGACAGTATTATCTGCTCATACAAGATAAATAGACAAGAGGACAAACAGCCCACCGTTATTTACTCATCTTCATCAGGAAAACAGAGCGGCTTTTTACAGTTTGGCGATCTGACTGAACACGAATCCGGACATCTTTTATACAGAAACAGTAGTAATAGTGAGGATAATCTGCAAACTGATGACAGAACAACAGTAGTTGTTGATGAACTGAATAGCAGGAGAATTAACTCATGTTCACAGAATGTAATCATGAAATGTGCGACTGTAACAGACAGCAGCAGTCATGTTAAAGTGGTCTTACAATCCGCAGAGAAAACTGAAATCCCAGATGTTCAAGAAGTCAAGGAATACAAGGAAACGCTCTTATCCTTTTTTTGCCCTAACTCTAGACAAAGATTGTTATGCTTCCAACTCATGGCCAAGTGACGCAAGTAAACTACGAAAACAAAAACATGAATCTGATCCTACACAGAACAAAATAAACAGGGTTTGGGACTTTAAATCAAAATTGTTGAAAAATGAAGATAACAGATCAGAAAGACCAAAAATATCTTTAGAAGGCACAGAGTCTGTGCCAGAAGTGTCTTGCTACAACAGAGAACAACAAAATACTGATGTAGTAAGTGAAGCTTTAGACAATAAAATTACCTGGAATACAGTAACCACGGCTGCTGCAAGTGTTTATGATGCTAGTTTATCGCAGGAGTCTTTATTTGATGACTATGAGGCAGTCACTTGTGTTCCTGATGAACTAATATCTGTGAACAACTGCACACAAAATGTTACTGTTTCTACAGCAGTAGCAACCTCTTTAGATTTTACCAATGCAACCCAGTCACAGGCTTGCGTGCTTGCATTGTGTTCTAAGGAGAAACAACCCCCAAGAGAAAAGACATCTGACCAATTGACACTAAGTACGCCACTAGTGACTGAACAAGCAATGTCACCAGTTGCTGTATTGTTACCATCAAAATTGCCAGGCCAGTCGAATGCAGCCTGCTTATCTTCAGTTTCATCTTTACAACCACATGAGTTTTTACATATTTCAGCATATGCATCACGTGTACTGAATGAATCATGTTTTCAAATAGCAGAAGAAAGGCATGCTGATCTATCTCTGATGGAAGGAGATAGACACGCTGATCTACCTCTGATGGAAGGATATAGACAAGCTGTTCTACCTCTGATGGAAAGAACTAGACACGCTGATCTACCTCTGATGGAAGGAGATAGACAAGCTAATCTACCTCTGATGGAAATAACTAGACACGCTGATCTACCTCTGATGGAAAGAACTAGACACGCTGATCTACCTCTGATGGAAGGAGATAGACAAGCTGATCTACCTCTGATGGAAAGAACTAGACACGCTGATCTACCTCTGATGGAAAGAACTAGACACGCTGATCTACCTCTGATGGAAAGAACTAGACATGCTGATCTACCTCTGATGGAAAGAACTAGACACGCTGATCTACCTCTGATGGAAAGAACTAGACACGCTGATCTACCTCTGATGGAAAGAACTAGACACGCTGATCTACCTCTGATGGAAAGAACTAGACACGCTGATCTACCTCTGATGGAAAGAACTAGACACGCTGATCTACCTCTGATGGAAAGAACTAGACACGCTGATCTACCTCTGATGGAAGGAGATAGACAAGCTGATCTACCTCTGATGGAAGGAGATAGACTCGCTGATCTACCCCTGATGGAAAGAACTAGACACGCTGATCTACCTCTGATAGAAGGAGATAGACACGCTGATCTACCTCTGATGGAAGGAGATAGACACGCTGATTTACCTCTGATGGAAGGAGATAGACACGCTGATCTACCTCTGATGGAAGGAGCAAGACACGCTGATCTACCTCTGATGGAAGGAGCTAGACACGCTGATCTACCTTTTACGGAAGTCGCAAGTTATGATAATCTACCTCTGATAGAAGGAGATAGACACGCTGATCTACCTCTGATGGAAGTAGCTAGACACGCTGATCTACCTCTGATGGAAGGAGCTAGACAAGCTGATCTACCTCTGATGGAAGTAGCTAGACACGCTGATCTACCTCTGATGGAAGTAGCTAGACACGCTGATCTACCTCTGATGGAAGTAGCTAGACACGCTGATCTACCTCTGATGGAAGTAGATAGACACGCTGATCTACCTCTGATGGAAGGAGCTAGACACGCTGATCTACCTCTGATGGAAGGAGCTAGACAAGCTGATCTACCTTTTACGGAAGTCGCAAGTTATGATAATCTACCTCTGATAGAAGGAGATAGACACGCTGATCTACCTCTGATGAAAGGAGCTAGACACGCTGATCTACCTCTGATGGAAGTAGATAGACACGCTGATCTACCTCTGATGGAAGGAGCTAGACACGCTGATCTACCTCTGATGGAAGGAGCTAGACAAGCTGATCTACCTTTTACGGAAGTCGCAAGTTATGATAATCTACCTCTGATAGAAGGAGATAGACACGCTGATCTACCTCTGATGGAAGGAGCTAGACACGCTGATCTACCTCTGATAGAAGGAGCTAGACACGCTGATCTACCTCTGATGGAAGTAGCTAGACATAATGATCTACCTCTGATGGAAGGAGATAGACACGCAGATCTACCTATGATGGAAGTAGCTAGACACAATGATCTACCTCTGATGGAAGGAGATAGACACGCTGATCTACCTCTGATGGAAAGAACTAGACACGCTGATCTACCTCTGATAGAAGGAGATAGACACGCTGATCTACCTCTGATGAATGGAGACAGACAAGCTGATCTACCTCTGATGGAAGGAGATAGACAAGCTGATCTGCCTCTGATAGAAGGAGATAGACACGCTGATCTACCTCTGATGAATGGAGACAGACAAGCTGATCTACCTCTGATGGAAGGAGATAGACAAGCTGATCTGCCTCTGATAGAAGGAGATAGACAAGCTGATCTACCTCTGATGAAAGGAGATAGACAAGCTGATTTACCTCTGATGGAAGGAGCAAGACACGCTGATCTACCTTTTACTGAAGTCGCAAGTTATGATAATCTACCTTTGATAGAAGGGGCAAGACATGATAACCTAACCCTGATAGAAGGAGCAAGACATGATAACCTATCCCTGATAGAAGGAGCAAGACATGATAATCTACCTCTGATAAATGAAGAAAGACATGATAACATACCTCCAATGGAAAGAGCAAGACATGATAATCTACCTCTAACGGAAGGAGCAAGACATGATAATCTACCTCTAATTGAAGGAGCAAGACATGATAATCTACCTCTAATAGAAGGAGCAAGACATGATAATCTACCTCTGATAAATGAAGAAAGACATGATAACATACCTCTAATGGAAGGAGCAAGACATGATAATCTATCTCTAATTGAAAGAGCAAGACATGATAATCTACCTCTAAGTGAAGAAAGACATGATAATCTACCTCTGATGGAAGAAGCGAGACATGATAACCAGCCTCTGATAGAAGGTGCAAGAAATGATAATCTACTTCTGACAGAAGAAGTAAGAAATGCTGAACTTTTCTTGATAGAAGCAGAAAGGCAAGCTGATTTATCTCTGACAAAAGGAGCTAGACAAGCTGAATTACATTTGGAAGAAGAATCAGGACACGCTAAGCTACATCTGGAAGAAGAAGCAAGACAAACTGAACTGCCTCTAATAAAAGAAACAAGAGATAGTGGACTACCTCTGATAGGAAAAGAAAGACAGTTTGGACAACCTAGAACACACAAAACAAAACAAAGTAAACTGTCTTTAACAGAAGAAGCAAGAAAAACTGAACGACTTCTTATGAAAGGCACAAGACACACTAAACTAATGCAAACAGAGGAAACAAAACATACAAAACTATTGCCCACAAGAAAAAGGTTAAATTCTGCATGCAATGCACAGTGTGAAATACAAGATGTAGTGCTGTCTACATCAGAAAATGAGCCATTTATACCATATGAACTTAAAAATGAACGGCATCACAAAATATATGTAACACAAACAGAAGAACAAACAGTCAATAGTCAATACACAGAAGCATCTGGCCGGTTAATACAGTTGAAGCAAAAGAAAAATATGCCTGGTTTTCCTCATGCATTAGATTCATCACATTCGCTAAGTACAGTACCACATACCTCTGATACTTCTGGCAGCCCTGGAAAAATAAGAAAAGATGAAACATTCTTTGACGCAACACAAATGAATAAACTTCACAAAAGATCTTTAAATGAAAATGTATGGGAAGGCAGGAGTGCACTTAAAGATACATCACTAGCGAATGCTTCACCAGAATATGTGATCTCAACACGTATTAAAGGCTCCACAAAATCTCAGCAGTATCACAGTAAGAGTCTAGTTTCTGACAACATTAGGACATTTGATTGTAAACATCAGGAAATGCCCAGATCTCCACCTGTTCTCATCAGTATGGAAGGCATTCCATATATGCTACCAAGCAGTGACCATGTTGTCCCACAGTGTGAGGTGACTTTGGTTGAGGCAATGACACATGACACTGCTGGTGAGGGTCGTATCACACAAGTCGCCGATGATGATGTAGATATTGACACAAGAGTCACTGATAGCCAATGATGTAGATAGTAAAACAGCAGTCCCAAATATTGATGTAGATAGTATAACAGGAGTCACTGTCTGTGGCGTAGGGGGTAACACAAGAGTCACTGATGCTGATGTAGATATTAAAACAGGAGTCAATAATGGTAGTATGGATGATAGAACAGGAGGTAATGATGGCATGGTAGATACTGATACAGGAGTCACTAATGGAAGATTATGTAATAGCACAGGAGTCACTGATGGTGATGTAGACAGTGAAACAGCAAGTAATGATAGTGCTGTAGGTAACAGCACAGGTATCACCGAAGGTCATGACATGTGTAAGGATAGTAGACAGACAGTACTGGCATCTGTACAAGAATTACACTCCACCGTCATCATTACAGAGCCTGCAGACAACAATAGGGATCTCACCAATCATAAAACCTCATCATCTTGCAACATTTGCCATCAAGGCAGTAGTATAGGGATCTCTTTGGAAATCTTACCAGACCCACATCAACGCGAGGAAACTACTACTGAAACTTCTGTTACCAATGATGCATTACTACTGTACAAATCAGAACAACAAGCACATTCACATCACAGTGAACAGATCTCATTGATTCCTTCTTTGGAACATTCGGCAGCCTGCGAAGAGCAGAAAGTCCCAGAGGCAGAATCTTGTGAAGATCTGTCTCTCAGTGAGGTGTCAATGTACAGTAATCTTGCAACAGATGAACCAGGTGAGTGTGATGTTTATTAATTGTATCTTAGTCCTCCAGAAAATTGACTCGCGAAGTAGACAATGTTCACAGTTTGACCATGTCACGAGTAGAGGAAAACTGGGAGTACATTGTGACGGTGGGGAAAGTTGGAGGGCAAAAAAGGCCAAGAAAAGACCGAGAGAGAAGAGGCTGGGAAGTTTAACATCATGGCATGGAATATAATCTGCGTCAGCACTGATTGAAAGTACACACGACAGAAGGTAGTGGGTAGACATGTCTGTCAAAGTCACACAGCGTGGACTAAATGAAGAAGTCACTCCTGGGTATTATGTTGGAGTTTACTGATAGCAGAATATGCTCAAGTGTGGAGGTGTAAACTTTGCCATCCCAATGTGGGTTCCAGAGCCCCATTGTAGGGAAGGGGCATGAGGAAGGGGATAGACCCCTGCCCTCTCACAAGCATTCTGTAAACGTCTACTAATTATGAGAGTTTCCTTCGAAGTCAGATTGCATCTGCCTGAGAGCAAGGAGGAGTATCATACAAATAAGATAGATCTGTAAAACAAATGTGCACATAAAACTCAAGATGTGCAACAAGACTAAAGTCCAGAAGTAGACGAACAACCAGAACTTTCCACAGGTGTTAACAGCCACTGAAAGCGAAGATGAAGAACTAAGCCAGATCATATCTTGAGTTGCTAAATCATAACTTGGTCACATCTAACGTGCCTCTCACAGATATGACGAATTCATGCTTTACACAAACTCACACTCACTTGTTTACTTAAAGAGGGAAAGATGGGCTCTGCAACACAGTCCCCATGAGATAGTACTGGAGCAGTGAGCCAGTCCTGTAGATGCAAACCCTTTTCAGGACCTTCACCACCTAAATGCCAGTGCATTGGTCCCCAGCGCATGCACGAACACACACACACACACACACTTTTGGCACACATAAGACACTAAAATGAATACTGTACCCACACACTTAATTGTGTTGTTTATATTGCTTTTTTTAGGTGACTTGAAATGTAAAAATCAAACTAAACAAGCGTTCCAGTGGAATTCAGTGTATGAATCAGCAATGAACAAGTCATTGACAGATCAGTCATCAGGTATGGAAGCAGTCTGAATGTGCACTTGTTTCTCTGCTTTTTTTCCCCTATTTTCAAATAGACCGTCAGTGAAAGATGTTGCTAGTGGTTTTTAAAGACTACAATCTTAAATATCTCACTCGCTTTTCTCCCTCTTTGAAACACCGCAATTTCTTATTTCACCTTTCAGAATACAAGTTTAATCAGGGCTTTTGCTGAAAACCAAAAGGCAAAAACAGTCCAGCCTAGCTGTAAACCTCCTGGGAAGTACAGGCGGCCGGCGTGATACTGACCATTTCACCCACCGAGTGCTGATTGATCTATAAAATATAGGTCTAGCCCTATATGCCCAGTACGCCTAAAGGGTTGGAAAAGGGTCTTTGACTTTTTTTAAAACTAGCTGTAAACCACAGCTCAGTGAGCCAAGCTATAAACCACAGCACAGTGAGCCAAGCTGTAAACCACAGCACAGTGAGCCAAGCTATAAACCACAGCACAGTGAGCTAAGCTATAAACCACAGCACAGTGAGCCAAGCTATAAACCACAGCACAGTGAGCCAAGCTGTAAACCACAGCACAGTGAGCCAAGCTATAAACCACAGCACAGTGAGCCAAGCAGTAAACCACAGCACAGTGAGCCAAGCTATAAACCACAGCACAGTGAGCCAAGCAGTAAACCACAGCTCAGTGAGCCAAGCTGTAAACCACAGCACAGTGAGCTAAGCTGTAAACCACAGCACAGTGAGCTAAGCTGTAAACCACAGCACAGTGAGATAAGCTGTAAAACAGCACAGTGAGCCAAGCTATAAACCACAGCACAGTGAGCTAAGCTGTAAACCACAGCACAGTGAGCCAAGCTATAAACCACAGCACAGTGAGCCAAGCTGTAAATCACAGCACAGTGAGCCAAGCTGTAAACCACAGCAAAGTGAGCCAAGCTGTAAACCACAGCACAGTGAGCTAAGCTGTAAACCACAGCACAGTGAGCCAAGCTATAAACCACAGCACAGTGAGCCAAGCTGTAAACCACAGCAAAGTGAGCCAAGCTGTAAACCACAGCACAGTGAGCCAAACATCCTTATAAAAATAAACGAAGTACCAGACGACGTTCTATGCCAAATACTGCCACAGTGTAGACCTGATAAGACGATCACCAAAGACCCAGGAAATTGTTTTTTTTTTCCTTATCATTTTCAGCTTATGCAAATAACAATCCAGCAAGAAAGATTGCAGGTGATAAACAAATTGTTCTTCACGACATAAATTGGCCACGTTGGAGACGGTCTTAAGCAGTCTGCACTGTGCTGAAATGTGAAGTGTTAGGCCTTTGCATATTCTAGATCCCGACATAAAAGTCAGTGCCTGTTTTCCACCACTTTTCTTTCTCGTGCAATACCAAAGCAGTCTGGAAAATAGTCAGTATCCCCTTTAAATAAAAGCCATTTTAAAATGCTGGGTCGATAGTATAGTTGTGCTGGTCAGATAAAAATAAACCTGACACTGCTGGGAATGGATCCCATTCTCTTAAATACTAGAGGTGATGCTCTTGTCATACAAAGAAGACATCAGGTGTGAGAGGGCAGTATCATAGCTAACAAACTGTCATTCTGTTATGACTAGTATTGTGTTGTTTAGGAACAGGATGCCGTTGGCAGTGTTGCAGGAAGGGGGGAAATCAAGAAGGGAAATGGAGTTCAGAGATGAGCGTCCAAGAAGAAACAGGATAAAAATATGTGATGGCAACAGCGGTCTTGATATTCCATGCACTAACCATGGAAGACCTTTCTTAATGTGAGTTAGTGTTGCTTGTCACACTCGCCATGACCATGGGCTGTGATTCCCATGCCTCCATACATCGCTACCACCTTGAGAAACGACAGACTGCCAACAGTTGTTTAGATTTGTCGCATAACATTTAATTCCTCTCTTTTATTTGTAGTACGATCTCTGTAATTGTAGGTGATGTAAGTGTTACATCATTGTCATATAATGAGAAGCTATGATAATTAAAATGCGCGCTCCTAAAATTTATTAGAATATGCTTCATGCTTGAACACTGTTATCATAATCTTGTGTGTCTCTAGATTTCACTGCAATTGTTATCACTACATTTTACATTGCAGATTCTACAGTTGATGGTCTGAGTGCTATTGTACCAATTGCTCACAGCCATCGACCTCTACGCATTGGTTTGTCCAGAAAACAGAAAGTCAAGCGTCTTCACAACAAGCAATGACTTGTATAGCGAATCAAAAACAATTCAGTGTCTATGTAACTTCTTTTCTTTAGCTGCATGAAGATATATATTCTGTTAACTTATCTGTTAGCCTACTAAAGAACGCAACATGCTTTTGTTGCTTTCAATTTTTTAAATTTACCTTTCCTTATTCGCCCATTTGTTACACCAACTCGTTCTCCGTCTACTTTAATCTTCATTTGCTTTTTTATTTATTATATATCTAATAAAATATGTATTATAATGTCATCAGATGGAAACATTTAATTATAATTAAAGGAAGAACTTCGGCATCATTTTAAGTAAAATTAGTTCTAATAACATGGGCCAGGAACTGAAATAGTTGATAATTATGCACATGTGCCCAGCCTATCAAGTATCTTTACTTGTTCTTAAAGAGATGTGTTGTCATGTTAGTGCCCCATCTGTCTAAACATTGAGGACCAAGTAAGGGCAAGAATTAAGATACCCAAATGGGCTGTTTTTCTGGCTGAATGCCAGCAGTCACTGGAAAAGGGACATGGAGTATTTGTCATTTTTTCAAAATTATATGAATACTTCAAGGTGCTTTTAACTCTTTTAGGCAAAATGAAACAGGTTAAAGGAAATGAATAATCAGAATGAAAACAGCATTATATGGCAAATGTTTTATCTTCATCATGGGTATAAAAGCAGTTTTAGGGGAGATAAAAGCCTGCAGGTACTCTGAGGAAATATTGTATCTGCTTTGCTAATTTAAGTTCTAAGAAGTTTTGCAGCAGATTTCCTTTACAGCCCCCCCCCCCCTTTCCCTATTAACATTACCAGTGCATTGCTTTAAGATATGTTAAACAAAAAATACACATTAGAACACCCCCCCCCCCCCCCCCCCCCGTTTCCACTAGAGTAAACCAAACGTTAAAGGTAATAGAACACAATTCAGGATTCTTGAAAGTCAAAGAAAGGGGTGAGTGAGAGGTTGAGAGCCAATCAAATACCTACAGTGCTACGGTCTGAAGGAGAGAGAGAGAATCTCTTTTAGTAGCAGCCTATAATTTATTAAGATTTCATGTCTCATTTCATTTGTATCCAATTGTGTCATTATGTAGCTAACAGTTAATAATTGATTAATTGTCAGTTTTTAAAAACAAAGCACAAGAGTCTGAAATAAGAGTTAACCTAGTGCTGAAGGGTGGCAAGGGCAATATCATATATGTTGGCAGGGAAGACGTCCTGGTGCTGATAGGGTGGCAAGGGCAATATCATATATGTTGGCAGGGAAGATGTCCTGGTGCTGATAGGGTGGCAAGGGCAATATCATATATGTTGGCAGGGAAGACGTCCTGGTGCTGATAGGGTGGCAAGGGCAATATCATATATGTTGGCAGGGAAGATGTCCTGGTGCTGATAGGGTGGCAAGGGCAAAATCATATATGTTGGCAGGAAGACGTCCTGGTGCTGATAGGGTGGCAAGGGCAATATCATATATGTTGGCAGGGAAGATGTCCTGGTGCTGATAGGGTGGCAAGGGCAATATCATATATGTTGGCAGGGAAGATGTCCTGGTGCTGATAGGGTGGCAAGGGCAATATATATGTTGGCAGGGAAGACGTCCTGGTGCTGATAGGGTGGCAAGGGCAATATCATATATGTTGGCAAGGAAGACGTCCTGGTGCTGATAGGGTGGCAAGGGCAATATCATATATGTTGGCAGGGAAGATGTCCTGGTGCTGATAGGGTGGCAAGGGCAATATCATATATGTTGGCAGGGAAGATGTCCTGGTGCTGATAGGGTGGCAAGGGCAATATATATGTTGGCAGGGAAGACGTCCTGGTGCTGATAGGGTGGCAAGGGCAATATCATATATGTTGGCAAGGAAGACGTCCTGGTGCTGATAGGGTGGCAAGGGCAATATCATATATGTTGGCAGGGAAGATGTCCTGGTGCTGATAGGGTGGCAAGGGCAATATCATATATGTTGGCAAGGAAGACGTCCTGGTGCTGATAGGGTGGTAAGGGCAATATCATATATGTTGGCAGGGAAGATGTCCTGGTGCTGATAGGGTGGCAAGGGCAATATCATATATGTTGGCAGGGAAGATGTCCTGGTGCTGATAGGGTGGCAAGGGCAATATATATGTTGGCAGGGAAGATGTCCTGGTGCTGATAGGGTGGCAAGGGCAATATCATATATGTTGGCAAGGAAGACGTCCTGGTGGTGATAGGGTGGCAAGGGCAATATCATATATGTTGGCAGGGAAGATGTCCTGGTGCTGATAGGGTGGCAAGGGCAATATCATATATGTTGGCAAGGAAGACATCCTGGTGCTGATAGGGTGGCAAGGGCAATATCATATATGTTGGCAGGGAAGACGTCCTGGTGCTGATAGGGTGGCAAGGGCAATATCATATATGTTGGCAGGGAAGACGTCCTGGTGCTGATAGGGTGGCAAGGGCAATATCATATATGTTGGCAAGGAAGACATCCTGGTGCTGATAGGGTGGCAAGGGCAATATCATATATGTTGGCAAGGAAGACGTCCTGGTGCTGATAGGGTGGCAAGGGCAATATCATATATGTTGGCAAGGAAGACGTCCTGGTGCTGATAGGGTGGCAAGGGCAATATCATATATGTTGGCAGGGAAGACGTCCTGGTGCTGATAGAGTGGCAAGGGCAATATCATATATGTTGGCAGGGAAGATGTCCTGGTGCTGATAGGGTGGCAAGGGCAATATCATATATGTTGGCAGGGAAGACGTCCTGGTGCTGATAGGGTGGCAAGGGCAATATCATATATGTTGGCAGGGAAGACGTCCTGGTGCTGATAGGGTGGCAAGGGCAAAATCATATATGTTGGCAGGGAAGACGTCCCTATATATTATATCATTTCGAACAGCTTTCAAGAAGTAATCTATAATATTCTACACTGGGGTTTTTCAACTAAGTTTACTCAGGGTCCACAATTTTGAAACTGTGCATCGTCACGGGCCCCAGCATAGAAAGATCAATTATACAACTGGCAATGCTCCGTGGACCATTTGCTAGATCTCCACGTGCCATATTTGACCCACGGGCCAGCAGATGAATAGTACAGTTCTGTACACTTGTGAAATGGAAATACACAACTTCTCTCTGATATCCTACACCCAATAAAGACAGCATAGCACCATTTTTTATATAGTACTGTAATGCATATTGTTGCCCACTGTTCATTTTAACATTCACTGTTTTTCTGTAGGGTCCATTTATCTGAAAGTTACTGTGAGACAAATATCTGTGATGTCTGCAGAACTCCTTAAAGACATGGGGATTTGGTGAAGTTCCTTCTCTCTGAGCTTAAATGTAATGTTAAATAGGCAAATTTTATGTTCAGTAGTTTGCCACTGCTTTCTTAATGACAAGCTCCCTGTACCGCTGTTGAAACCAATGGAAGACAAATCGTCTGCAGCTGGGATCGAACCAGGCACCCTGGCATTACAAAGTTTGTTCGCAGTACCTATGGCACAGACGCTGACATGGTTAAATATAAAGTATGAAATATTCTCCACGGTTTCCACAATTACAGTGACATTATACCTTTTTTTTTTTTTTTTTTTAAATAAAGATGACATTTAAAGTGTATAACTAGGATAAGCAGAAATAAAAAGATCGGTAGAAGTTCTCCCATCATGAAGGTTTGAAAATACAGTCTCCTTGACTTACAACCAAGTTGTTTTCTGATTAACGGGTCATAATTCACATTTATATTTCTCAACACTATTTATATTCAAGCGGGTTATATAAATTGTAAACAAAACACACAAACTCAATACATGTACATATAATTATTGTACATAAAGAGAACAACAAATAACATGTATTTTAATGCATCAGTTCCTGGAAATTGTTTAACCTACCAATTTATTTTCTATTTTTGTGTGTGTGTGTGTGTGGCCATAAGTGTGGATGGTCGGAGATGCATAGGTTGTAAGTTGAGGAGAGGATGTAACATCCCCAAATCTGGGCATGGATGGCTACCGTATGCTTTTAATGCGTGTGTATACTAGTGCATATGCTAAGACAGCAGTCTGTCAGTCTTTCCACAAGGGACTGTGATAAACATTCTGTGTGTTTTTCATTGGCACAAGAGCGGAGCAACTATGGGATGACCCGTTTGCTATGAAGCTGAAACTAAGATTACCAGATTTAAGAACTAGCTGCAGTAGATATATTGAGCATAACAATGATGAGTCAGCATAGGGCCATCAGGATCATGAAGTGCCATCTCAGCACCGATGTCTGCAGTCACAGAGGATTGTACCAGTCCATCTCCTGATGCTGTCCACCCCACACATAACAGGTTTCTATTGACACAAACTGTATACATGTTAGGCAGTAGGTTCTTTCACTTATACCAATAACCACTCTTATAAATTTGGCAGTCCCATCATCACCAAAGTATGACATCTAGTTTTACTGTAACTCGGGTTATGCACTAGATTAGCTAGACCAAATAACATATTTTGGAGACTTGAATGCTACCAACCCAAGCAGACAGCTTACTGAACACATTCTTGTATATTGTTGACCATTGAGATAACTTATGTTTGCTGTTTCACATACCATATTTATATATATATTGTTTAAATTTCCTTTTCCAGATTGTTTTTGAATATTTCGTTATCGTTATTTAGAAATGCGTTGTTGTTAAAGCATTTTCAATTAGTTAAAAAAGAGAGCCAAATTCAAGATGTATTCTGTGAATGAAGCCTGCCCAGAGCATATCTGTGATAACTTGTACATAGCTACACATTTGTCATTTATAATTAACAGTTTCAGTTTATGTTTTAAACACTTTTTTCAGTGTGCAAAAGATTCAGAGTTGTTGAAGTCGAATTTGTAGTTAAAACAGTTTATGTTAATCTTAAAACAAGTTAAATAAAAGTGATTGTATTTTTGACAAGTTACTTTTATGTGTTTTATTAAGCACATGTAAGTTAGCATTCACATTCAGCAACAGCTGATTTGTCAAAGTTTCA